ACACACACACACACACACACACACAGACACACACACACACACACACACACACACACACACAGTTTGAATGTTGGACGTCACTAACAGCTGAATGTGGAGGACATGTTGGAGACTCACCCGGTGTGGAGGTGTGTGGATCAGGGCCCGGTAGAAGCAGGTGGTCTGTGGGTACAGGGCCAGAACCAGCTGGTCCTTACTGAACAGGGCCTCTGGGTCCGTCTCTGGGTTAGCTTTCCACTGAGGCAGAGGGATGATCCTGCGCCTGCTCAGAGTGTGTCTCCTGACAAACAAACACACAAACACTGCCACATCAGGAAGTGAACAACCGCCTTCTGTCTGGAGGTCGGGTCAGAACCAGAACTCTGGCTTCTGTTTCTTACACTCTGGATGTGAAGCTACATTTTAAAACAGCAGATCCAAGAACTCATCAGACCTTCTGAGACTTTGGAGCAGAGGAAGACTCAGAAGGTCTCAGCTGATTTTTACACAACAGTTAGTGAAACACAGCTGCTGGAGCTGCTGGGACCAGTTCACATTCTGCTGACASATTTTAAATGAGTTAAGATATCAAGCAGTAACTCATTCTGTGAATAAAMACTGATTCTAACGGTTTGTTGGTAAAATGATAAACATTAAGGACAAACTTGTAAATTAAAGTTTAATCTTGAAACAAAACTGTCTCAAGTTTCAAAGGTTTAAACTAAAAAAGAATTGACAGAAAGTGTTGTTGATACATTAGTTTTTAAGAAACTAAGAATAATTTTCTTGATCATTAGGAAGTGATGGAATAAGGTAACAGGATGATATAACTCTTTACTTCTGAGTGAAAACTGTATATTTGTAATGTTTCTGTTCGCTTCTGTTCAATAAAACTTATTAACAAGAAGAAAACAAGAACTTGAGATAAAAATTCCTTCACTGTGAATTATATTATGATGTTTCTAAAATTAATAAATAATATTGGTACCAAAACTAAAGGATGTAGTTAGCCTGTCATCTTTCACACATTTATACAGGAGAACAGTTTCAGATGTTTACAGACAGGAGTTTTGGTTCGAGCAGCTCGAAGCTTCGTTTCCTACAGCTGCTGCTGCTGCCATGTCAGAGCTCAGGTGTTCCAGACAGGAGTCGTCCTGGTCTGTAACACCTGAGCTCTGCTGTCATGTCAGGGATGCTCGGTTTCTTTTCTTTTCATCACACACAACATGGAAACACACAACTTCATCACACAACATGGAGACACACAGCTTCATCACACAACATGGANCTTCATCACACAACATGGAGACACACAGCTTCATCACACAACATGGAAACACACAGCTTCATCACACAACATGGAATCGGTCCAGATGAAGTGATTTGTTAAATCAGGCCCTGGTGAAGCAGCAGCTCTGAATGATGAAAGTGATGAAGACGAGGCAGAAATGAACTCACTCTTTGCCCTCTTCATCGATGTCGTCCACCTCGTACCTGCAGGGACACAACACAAGAGGTTCCTGAGATGTTCAGAGAAGCAGCAGTCCTGCTGACTCAGCGTCTCTCACTTGTTGGTGGAGTGGCTGTAGCTGACCACCTCGGCCAGGATCCACTGCTCGTCTCCGTCCACCGCCTTCACCCGCGCCGCCACCTTGTCCCCCTGCTTGGCCACGTAGTCGCTGCTGGCCGGGGTGGCCCCGCACAGAGGAGGGGGGCTGAAACAGGATCAAAGGGTTAGAAGTAAACTCTATAACCAGTTCCATTCTACAAGTTACTTCTAATTATAAGTGTTGGAGAGAGGGGTGGAGGTGGGCATGGTTACAACTGTTAAATTTATTTAAATCTCAAATCTACTCAACTCTGTAATCACTAATTTTTATCGGATGTTCAGTGATTTAACTTTTTACTTATGTGTTTTAAGAGTGGGGTGTTTATTTATTTTTATAATTATTTGTAAAATGTTTTATTTTTCTCTTTCTGTTATTTTCTTCTCTTATTTCTCTTACWGCTGGTTGTTTTGTTTTTGTTGACTGCAGGGACTACAGATGTAAACTAGCCTTATAGGCTAAACCTGCTGCAAAGCATCAAATGTTTTTATGTTTTAATTGCACACAGTCCTGATTTAATAAATTTATAATAATAACGGGTCTGGATCAGGAGGTCTGGATCAGGAGGTCTGGATCAGGAGGTCTGGATCAGGAGGTCTGGATCAGAACCGGAGCAGGTACCTCTCTCCAGGTTTGCCGATCCACAGCGGGAGCGTCATGGCCGACTGCTGGAGGAGCGTCATCAGGACGCCGCGTCTCATGGTCTTCCTGGGAGGATCACCGTTGCTGTTCACTCCCGCCATCTTAGCAGCTGCAACAAGAGAGACTGTTTGACCAGAACCAGAACCAGAACCAGCTGAGCTCACAGAAACGTACCGATCCGCCGCTCCTCCAGCAGAGACTTGATTTCTGCGATTTTATCCAGCGAGTGCCTGAGGATGCTGCAGGAAGAAGCAGACTGATCTGAGTTTTCTCAGCTGGACAAGAGGCGGCTGCACTACGCTGCGCTGCGCTGCACTACGCTGCGCTGCGCTGCACTACGCTGCGCTGCACTATGCTGCGCTGCACTGCACTCGCTCACCTGCACTCTGCCTCGGCGTCAGCCTTCGCCGTGGTGTACAGCCCCCTCAGCTTGGAGCGGTAATACGGAGAGGCTGCAGGGAAGGTCAGAGGTCACGTCACTAACAAGCTAACTGTTAGAAATGTAGCGTTTAAGGAGGAGTTACTGACTCTTGTTCTCCGTCTGCATCCTCTCGTGTGTTTTCTGGATGTTGAGCAGGTTGTGCTCGCTGCGGGACCGCTCCTCCTGAAACACCAGCCTTCATCAGTCAGAGAAAAGGTCTCGTTCAGTAAAAACTGCAGAAAAACTCACCTGTGTCTGTTTGATGAGCTGGTGCAGCTCGGTGAGCAGCTCTGCGATCTTTGTGTCGGCTGACATGTTCGGTTCTGTTGGTTCTGACCCAAACAGATGAAGATCAGCTGATTTCTGTGGCTGGTTCTGTGTAGAACACAGCTGCTGCTGTTTTAGAAGACGATGAATGAAACAGTTAGAGGGACTTTAAATGATGTCTGAATAAAGTCCTCAGGATGTAATAATCCTGCAGAGACTCATAAACTGTTGGTTTGTTTCAACTCAAACAATTAAAGAGTTCCTGATTAAACACAAAGAAATATAAAACAAGTCTTTACTGTTTCTGGCATCATTTAGTCCAGATTTTATTGTCTACAAGTAGAATTTTATTTAACAGGACTTCATTCAAAGCTTGGGAATTGCATTTTATTATAAATATTATTATATTTATTATAAATGCATTTTATTATAAATGTTTTACAAACAGTCCAATAATTTAGTCCAGATTTTATTTTTTTTTACCTGAGCAGGTGTAAAGGCTACATGTTTCATCAGATCTAAATATGATTTAAACCAAACTAAACATTTCCTTTAACAGTCAAATCTCGTGTTTTCAACCAGAGCATCAGTTTATATCTACTAGTTTTACAAACACACATATATAAAAATATTTAAAGCTAAAATGATCGTTGTTGGTCGGGTTCGTCTCGTTAAATAAATGTTTTCTTCCACATTAGACACAGTTACTGTTTAAACATGTTTACTGGGACGCAGTAACAACAACATTCAGAAAAACAGAAACTCACTCACCGAGCGGCTTTATGCGTTTGTTTACACCCGGGATGCTAACTAGCGCTTAGCATCTTCTTCTTCTTCTTCGTTTCCGGTAAGTCGCTTCATCAGCTCCGCCCACTGCCCCGCCCTCCCCTGCTGGCCGGAGGTGGTACTGCACGGCCTGTTAGAAATCCTGCCTGGAGTTTACATTTATTTCTCTTTGTTAAAAGCTGTCACTTTGGAGTAGGGATTATCAGTTTTTTTTTGTTTCTTCAAACTGATTAAACGTTTAAACATCTGAAAGTGTTTGTGTTGTATAAAATACCACACAATGATACTTGAGTAAAAGTACAAGTATTTTACCAAAAAATGACTTTAGTAAAAGTTAAAGTCTCCTTTAGGAATATTACTTGAGTAAAAGTSTTAAAGTATGTGATATTTGTTGTAGTTAAGTATTAAAAGTCAAAGTGTAGATTTAAAATGAGCAGTTAGATTTTCTGTAAGGACATTTATTAGGAGGTGACCTCCCCAAAAACTGCAGAAATGACTGTTGTATTAAAAGAATGAATGGATGTTAAATTTAGGATGCACTAGTCCAGCTGTTTCAGTTTATATACATATATCAAGGCTGCACAAAGCTTTTCCCCAAAATGAAAACCTATCTGAGGGCTGCGGCCAAATGTAATAATATAATTCATGAAATACAAATACTTCTTAAGTACAGTCCTTTGATTTGAATGATTCTGTCCTGCTGGAGTGTGACATGATTTGTTTGTGTACAAACTAATACACTATCAGAGTTTTATATATTTATACTTCTCATTCAACCACAGTTAAATTCACTCTATCTAGGAGGCTCAGTTTATATGGATAGTTTTTATTTTTTACAACAACAAGCTGCAATGAAAACAAGCAGAAATKRAATAAAAGTAGCTTTATACTTCTTGTCTTTTTAAAAATGTAAGGATTAGAGAGTACAGATAATTGTGTGAAAATGTAAGAAGTAAAAAGTATGCTGAAAAATAAATACTCTAAAGTACAGATAGCCAAAAATTCTGCTTAATTAAAGAAGTATTTGTACTAAATTACTTTACAAGTGGTGACTGAACTGTCAGCCTGGAGGCTGCAGGAAGGTCATCATGTAAAACATTAATCTATGTTTAGACTTCAGATCCTGGAGGAGGGAGCAGCAGAAAGAAAAACATCCAGTCCAGACTGAAGTGCTGCTTCTCTTTCAAATGAGTTTTATTTTGAAAAAACAAACATTTAATCATCCCTTTAATACATTTTGCTCATTATATTAAGAGTTTTAACCACTTCAAATTAACTGAATCAGTTTTCAGAGAAGTTCCATAAATGATTCATTTAATGATTTGTGAGTCATTCAGCCAACAGTTACATGATCACCCATCTCTCACCTGAGCAGGTGAGAGTCTGTTTACAGAAAAACGTTCCAAGTTGTTTAAAACACTTAAAAAGAGTTCAGATCAAATAAAATCATCCAGCTGCAGCACCGCAGGTCCAGGTGAGCCAGGCTCTGAGCTCCTGAGGAGAACACCTGGACCAGGTCTAACCCCGCCCACCAGAGCTCCAGCGGGCCCCTGCRGTCTGCACATGTCGGTCCGTCACCATGAGGCCGTGGTCGGTGTCCGGGAGAGGCCGTCCGAGTGGCCCTGTTCACAAAAACAAGATCAGGCTGAGAGGGCCACACCTGCCCAGCAAGGACCAATCAGAGCGCAGATCAGGTCAGGTCAAAGCAATCAGAGCATAAAGGAATAAAGTTCAGAACTTTTGTCCAGCTTTAATCATCCTAATGAACTTTGTTACACAGACATGTTTTGGTTTCAGACAAACATGTTGAAGAACATGTTTAAATGATGTAAAGAGTTTATCAGTAGATCAGGTTTCAGCTGAGCAACAAAGGGTTAACAGTTTGTTTGCAGCGTGGCACTTCTCTGTGGAGGAAGGGCCAAAGTTAAACAAACAAAGAATCTCCACTAAAAATCCGCTAATTTTAGTTTCTTATCTTTAAAAACKTATAAAACAAAAACTTATTTAAAGAAATGTACATGTTTCAAACATAAAGATAGAAAAAGAAGAATTCGGGGTGTTTAAATTAACATTAACTCACATTGCGCTTCACTACAGCCCCGCCCACYTTACCCACAGCTCTGAGCGAATACACCACCGAACTCCGTTAGAAAAGTGTCTCATTTTAGATTTTAACTGCTTCAGTTTAAAACTGCACTTGTTTTATGACTCAGCTGTTTAACCGAACACAACTTCCAGCTCCTGTCTTTAACTCGGCCGAGTCTTATTCCCAGGAAAAAAAGCCGTTTAGTGATTTTTCCGTGTTTTACCTCAGGCTTCACTCCTTGGCTTTCTTCTCGCTGTTCTGAAGTTTCTCCACGATCTTCCGCTCGTGTCCTGCAGGACTGTGGCGGTTCGTGTTGTCGCTGGCCTCCTTCTTGGTTCTGCCTTTCCGGGCTGAACCCTCTGTGGCACAGAACCGAGTCAAGTCAGCGTACAGAATCAGCATCAGAACCAGAGGAGACAGATGAGTTGCTGGTTCAAATCCTCACCTGCGTATTTGTCGGTCAGGCTGTAATAATCATACTCATCATAATACTCCTCCTCGAACTTGGAGGGCTTCAGGTTCTTCACGTCCACGTGACTCATGTTCGGTTTGGTTCGGGTTCAGGTCTTCAGTCTGTTTTGTGTCCTGCAGGTTTTTATAAGTTTGTCTGCGCTGTGCTCCTCCTTCATCACCTCCTCCTCCTCCTCCTCCTCCTCCTCCTCCTCCTCCAGCCAAAACAAATGTTGCATCAGAAAACCCAAACAGCTGCACGTTTTCACTGAGACGATTTCATCATTTTTGTTTGATCTCGTCGAACAACTCGACCCTTCTGGGTTTTAAACTTTAACTTTTTTCAACGAAATCTGTAAACATTTAATTACAACAAATAAAAACTTACAACGAATCAAACAGCTCACCTGTCAGGTGAGACACACCTGAGCAGGTCTCACATCCGGTTTGTTACTAAAGATATTTTACTGACACAGCAGGTTTCACCCTGACTGACACCCAGAGCCTGGTTCTGATCCAGTTAAACATTAAAGCCAGGAGGAGCTGATTGGACCGCTGAAGCAGCCAATCAGAGCCTCTGCTTTCAGATCTCATATAAAAATATAAACTCAAGACTTTATCCTGAAAATCAGTTCATATTTTAGGACTTTTGTAATAATCTGTAGAGTTAGACTCTTATTTTGAAACTCCAGGCTCAGATCTCTTCCTGGTTCGGATGTTCCAGAAGTTCAGCAGCTCAGACACACCAGTAACCGCTGGTCCACCGTGCTGCATGGTGTTGGATCTTACTGGTCCTGGATGGGTTCAGGTTTCAGGATGTTTGTTCAGTCTGAGCTCGGGGACTTTTGGACCGGGACAAAGTTCTGTCAACAGCTGATTCAGACAGATCAGGCGACACAAACAGGCTGACGTCAGAGCAGAAAGCTGTCAATCAAACAGTCCAGCTGTGATCTCTGATGTTGAGACTGGAAGAAACATCAAAGTTTCACCTGAAACAAACTCAGTAAATCTGAATGAATCAAACTGAAGTTTGATGATAAAATCTGCAGGTTTCTTCAGATTAAACTGTTTTTATTTAATCTGACAGAATCTAAAGTTTCAATCTGATGCTCAGATTTCAAACAATTGTCAGAATCTATTTCTGTGAAAATAAGGAGTTCTTTTCAGACCGGGCCTGCAGGAGGCAGCATGTGAACAGAACCAGCTTTATTCAGAACCAAGAGAAACACAAAGGTCCAAACATTCATACATTCAGGCGTGCAGAAAACAGGAAGAACAGAACCAGAACCAGAACCCTGAACGCTTCATCAGTTTGAAATAAAACAACATCTGCATCATGCAAGAACCAGAACCAGAACCGCTTCGTCAGGTCCAGATTTGTCCTCGCAGTTTAACTGAGGACAGACCGGTTCTGATGGACCCGGATCAGAGGAGCAGGTTCCATCAGAGCTGCTGTAATCACAGCAGGTGGTCCGGTCTCATGCAGGTTTAACGAGTGCTCACTAACGAGTGCTCACTAACGAGTGCTCACTAACGAGTGATCACTAACGAGTGATCACTAACGAGTTCCCACTAACGAGTGCTCACTAACGAGTGATCACTAACGAGTGCTCACTAACGAGTGCTCACTAACGAGTTCCAGAAATAATTAAAGATAAATAAAGTTTTAAACTGAAACAACTGGATTCATGCAGAAACATCAGTTTACACACAGGTCCTGATCCACAGCAGAACCTTCGGCTGCAGAAACACACAGGTCCTGATCCACAGCAGAACCTTCGGCTGCAGAAACACACAGGTCCTGATC